CCAACATGCCTCACCCTCAGTCCTGTTAATAAAGCAGGTTCAAATCTTCTCAGAGCGGCCCTGGGTGGTTGCCTCCAAGTGGACTTGCAAATGTGAAAAGGAAGGTGATTCAGGGCCCTAATCAGAAGCTTCCTGGCAGGACCAGGTCCTGGAAGCAGTGTTGGCTGCTGCAACTCTGAAGAGCAGGTTGTGAGCCTGCTGTGGAACTGCCCTCTCCCAAGGGCCGTGGCCAGCTGGCACCAGGGTCGGCTTTCCCCACATCTGCACTCCCCCTGCTGCAGGCCTGAGCTCTCCATGCCCCTGGCTCTCTCCTGCAGAGGGCCTGCCCTCAGTGGCCAAAGGAGGGCGCTGGAGAACGGACCTGAGCAGACAGGCAGGAGCTCCTCTGCAGGTCCTCTCAGGCACCACCCCTTCTGGAAGGAAGGCTTGGGAGTCCCCTAAGACAGATCCTCAGTCACTTCTCTCTGCCTGTGTCTCAGAAAGACCAGCTCCTCCTACTGTCTTCTGTGCTAGGGATTACTTCCTTGTTGAGTGGCACCTGAATTTTGAGAGGTTCCTCTGCTCCTCTTCATCTTGTCCCTTTCCTTCCAAGGCCCCGCAGAGGAAGGCATGCGGTGGGCCCTAGCCCTGGTTCTAGCTCTCCTGTCTCCTGGTGAGTGTGCTGCCTACAGAGAGGCTCAGGGGTTTTGTTTTGTTCTTTTCTTCTTTTGCAAGGGGTGCCATACTAAGAAATGCCTCATTATATTTTGTGTTGTTTCCATTGCAGCCAGTCAGAAATCTTCCAACTTGGAAGGGAAAACGAAGTCAATCACCGGGCCTACTGGGTCACCTGCTGAAATCACCTGTGATCTTCCTGGAGTCAGTACCTTATACATCCACTGGTACCTACACCAGGAGGGGAAGGCCCCACAGCGTCTTCTGTACTATGAACCCTACTACTTCACGGTTGTGTTGGAATCAGGAATCAGTCCAGGAAAGTATGACACTGCAAGCACAAGGAAGAGCTGGAATTTGAGACTGCAAAATCTAATTGAAAATGATTCTGGGGTCTATTACTGTGCCACCTGGGACAGGCACCATGATTCAGACCTGCCCTACACCACACTAAAAATCTGCCTGTGGTTGCTTCTGGTACACAAGATAGACCAGCCAACTCTTATTTCCTGCCCTGAATTTACTGTATTCTGTACAAAGAGAAACACAGCTTAACTCCTGCTCTCCCCGCTAATATCACACTCCCCTGGGCAGCAGCTGCATCCTGTTCCCCACTCTCCCCCAGGACTTTCCCGAAGACCAAGTTGCCATCTCCAGGCCTCAGCTCAGCAGCCTAGCTGAGAGCAAGGTTCTCTCAGCTCTCCTAGGACATGGGGGAGGCCCACTCACTCTGCTGCCTAGGACAGACAGGTACACCTAGAGTCCAACTGTGAAGCAAGATATTTTGGACAGCAAATGGGAAGGGTATTTATACTGAATCATGTATCCAATCATGGTCCAGAGATCACAGCTGAGAGTGGCGCTTATTCCTTATGTCCAAACAATATACGCAATACTATAATGACCACCAAAACACTAGGCCTAGATATGCAGTTGAACATTCTCGCCCTCTGCCCTCCCTTTTATTCTCGCCCTCCTTTCTTACTTCCATGCATGCTTTTATTATTTTTCTCTCCCTCCCTCCCTTCTTCCTTTCCTTCCATCTTCCCTCCCTCCCCCGCTCTTCCTTCCTTCCATCCATTCTCCGTTTCTTTCCTTCCTTCCTACCTGGCTTTTCTCTCTCTTTCGTTCCTTTTTGGGTACATAATCAGAATACTTTTTCCACAAAATCATTTGAAATAATTTTCCTCTATTTGTTCATGCCAACATTGATACAGGTACTTTAAATGTTCAGTCTTCATTTTTATATTTTGGAAATTTGTTGTGTTACTTTGTTTTGTTTCATATTTGTTTTGTATATATAAAACATTTACATGGAACTGAAGTCAAAGTTATAGAAGATGCATTTGAAGATTTTAGCATCCGTTGTAGAGTTCTCGTTCCTCTTTTCTCCCTCACCCTATAGGTAAAAATATTTTTATCAGTTTTCTTGAACTTTTTAACTTTGTTTGTCATAGCACAGTATGTATCAATTCTATTTAAATGAAATATTTATATTTTTTGTTCATATATTTGTTTTTTATACATTTTAATCAATCTCTTATTTTCCCATGTCTGGATTTTGTGTCTGACTTCTAAAGGTGCACATACTTCATAAGTGTGCACAAAGAAATCCATATCATGCATTTGAATGTTTTTATGCATTGATTATTTAATGATGGCATCATTGATCTATCAGGAATTTTTATACAATAATTACTGTATTAGTAATAATAATACTGGCCAGGCCTGGTGGTTCATCCTGTAATCCCAGCATTTGGGTAGTCCGGTTGTTAGGATCACTTGAGGCCAGGAGATTGCGACCAGCTTAGCCAACATGGTGAAACCATGTCTCTACTAAAAATACAAAAAATTAACTGGCTGTAGTGGTGCACACATGCGACCCCAGCTACTTTGGATGCTGAGGCAGGAGAAGCTCTTGAGCCTGGAAGGTAAAGATTTCAGTGAGCTAAGATCACACTACTGCTATCAAGTTTGGGCAACAGAGTGAGACACTGTCTCAAAAAAGTTAATAATAATAATAATAATAATATTGATGGTAAATATGGGTACTGACATTCTGGTAGTTAATTTACTAAGTACATTACTTTCTATTTTATTTAATCTATACAGAAACTTCATTAAAGGTTTAAAGTACTGTTGAATTTAACATTAGAAATTCGGGGGTTAATTAACATTTCCTAAGTCATATACTTTAACTTGATAATGATTGGTATCCAAGCTCTGCGATTCTGAAAATGAGATTTGTTAATTCAGTTTGCATTCCCCCATCTTTAGGAGTACTTGCATTTTTTACATTATGGCTCATTTACAGTTCTTCTTTTCTGAATTGCCTTGTCACACTCTTGACCTATTTTCCTTTTGGAAGATTAATTTTTTCTCGTTGGTATGAAAGACTTAATATACACCATTTTACAGAAACTGACCCTTTATCAAATGTGTTGCAATATATCTTCTCCTATGTTATTATTTTATTTGACAACTTTTGGCGAATTGCACTTTGAAAAATCAAATCTATCAATTTTTCTAGGGTCTCTATTTTGACGTCAGGCTTAGAGAGGCCAATGTCACCTAGAATTTGTATGCAATTCATCATCGTTTAAATCTAATGATTTTCTTTTTATTACAACTTAATTACTACTTGTGACTGCTAAGGTGGAAATGCAACAATATTTGTTTCCATATGGTAGGTCAATACCCAAAAGAGAACTTATTAAATAATTGACTATTTCCTTGTGGATATTAACATATAACTTTATCACATGAGAAAATATTACATACATGTGGTTCTCTTTCTGGATTTTCCACTGTGTTCCATGAATCTTGTCATTCTAGTGCCGGTATTGTCCTCTCTTCAGCGCTGTAGCTTTGTAGTTCTTTTCACATTCTGATGAGGTTTCTCTCATTTTTTTGTTTTAAGAATTTTCTGTGCATTCTAGTGTGATCTCAATCCTCTCCCTTCCCATTTTTAAACCGTGGGACTTCTGTCCAGCAAGACTTTTTCACGCTCCAAGGCAGGCAAGCTCCCCGGCTTCACAAGAACCCTGAGAACTCAGCTTTCAGAGCTGCTCCTATGGCAGCCTCATGTCCTGTACGTGTGGTCCAGAGGCAGAGGGAGACCAACCAGAGCCCCCTCCCTTTCTCATTCCCAGCTGTGATGACAGCAGAAACTAAACTCTCTGAGCTGGGCCAACACCACAACTGAGAGGGACATTGTTCTACATCTCATTACACATATTTCAAACTTGTGTCTTCTTAAAGAGGAGGTGAAAATCTGTGTATGCCCTAGTGAATTTTCACAATTATATTACTGTACTTGTTTTTTCCCCTATATTTCCATCTGTGAATCCAGGTGCGCTGCAGATCTCAGTCTGCTTTCTGAGTATAGGGCTGACAAATAAAATATACAATGACAGACAATTTGGAAGTTCAGGTAAATAACAAGTTTTTAGTTTAAGTATGTTCCAAATATTGCATGACATGGCACCCTGAACTACTTTAAAAAACAAAGAAACTCCTACTTCGATGAACAAAAATCCTCTCAAAAAGAGATCACACCCACAGGATCACATACACACACACCCCACACACATACACCCATTCATCTTAGAGCAGAGTCCAAGACCCACCAACACACATGATCCTCAGTCCTTTTTTATTTTATTTTATTTATTTATTTTTATTTTTTATCATACTTTAAGTTCTAGGATACATGTGCACAACGTGCAGGTTTGTTACTTAGGTATACACGTGCCACGTTGGTGTGCTGCACCCATCAACTCGTCATCTACATTAGGTATTTCTGCCAGTCTATCCCTCCTCCCTTCCCCCACCTCATTACAGGCCCCACTGTGTGATGTTCCCTACCCTGAACCCATGTGTTCTCATCGTTCAATTCCCACCTATGAGTGAGAACATGCAGTGTTTGGTTTTCTTTCCTTGCAATAGCTTGCTCAGAATGATGGTTTCCAGCTTCATCCATGTCCCTACAAAGGACATGAACTCATCCTTTTTTATGGCTGCATAGTATTCCATGGTGTATATGTCCCATATTTTCTTAATCCAGTCTATCATTGATGGACATTTGGGTCGGTTCCAAGTCTTCGCTATTGTGAATAGTGCCGCAATAAACATACGCCTTGGGTGGTGCCTCCAAGTGCCCTTGCAGATGCGAAATTTCGGCAAGGTGGTTCAGTTCCCTAATCAGAGACTTCCTGGCAGGAGAAGGTCCTGGCATTAGCATTAGCTGCTGCAACTCTGAAGAGCAGGTTGTGAGCCTGCTGTAGGACTGCCCTCTCCCAAGGGCCATGGCTAGCTGGTGCAAGGGTCGGCTTTCCCCACATCTGCGCTCCCTCTGCTGCAGGCCTGAGCTCTCCATGCCCCGGGCTCTCTCCTGCAGAGGGCCTGCTCTCAGCTGCCACAAGAGGGCGCAGGAGAACAGACCTGAGCAGAGAGGCAGGAGCTCCACTGCCGGGTCCTCCCAGGCACCACTCCTTCTGGGAGGAAGGCTTGGGAGTCCCCTGAGACCAGATCCTCAGTCACTTCTCTCTGCCTGTGTCTCAGGAAGACCAGCTCCTCCTACTGTCTTCTGTGCTAGGGATCACTTCCTTGTTGAGTGGGACCTGAGTTTTGAGAGGATCTTCTGCTCCTCTTCATCTGATCCCTTTCCTTCCAAGGCCCAAGAGAGGAAGGCATGTGGTGGGCCCCAGCCCTGCTTCTAGCTCTCCTGTCTCCTGGTGAGTGTGCTGCCTATAGAGAGGTTTTGTTTTGTTTTCTTCTTTTGCAAGGGGTGCCATACTAAGGAATGTCTCATTATATTTTGTGTTGGTTCCATTGCAGCCAGTCAGAAATCTTCCAATTTGGAAGGGAGAACAAAGTCAGTCACCAGGCCGACTGGGTCATCCGCTGAAATCACCTGTGATCTTCCTGAAGTCAGTAGCTTCTACATCCACTGGTACCTACACCAGGAGGGGAAGGCCCCACAGCGTCTTCTGTACTATGACTCCTCCAACTCCAGGGTTGTGTTGGAATCAGGAATCAGTCCAGGAAAGTATGATACTTATGGAAGCACAAGGAGCAACTTGAGATTAATACTGCGAAATGTAATTGAAAATGATTCTGGGGTCTATTACTGTGCCAACTGGGACAGGCACAGTGATTCAGACCTGCTGAACACCACACTGAAAATCTGCCGTGTGGCTGCTTCTAGTACACAAGACAGAACCACCCCCTCTCACTTCCTGCCACCAAATTTACTGTATGCTGAACAAGAGAAACACAGCTTAACTCCTGATCTCCCCTACAGGATTACACTCCCCTGGCAGCAGCTGCCTCCTGTTCCCCACCCTCCCCCAGGACTTCCCTGAAGACCAAGCTGCCATCTCAGCTAAGCCTCAGCGAAGCAGCCTGGCTGAGAGCAAGGTTCTTTAGTTCTCCTAGGACGTGGGGGAGGCCCACTCACTCTGCTACCTAGGACAGACAGGTACATCTAGGGTCCAGCTGTGAAGCAAGATATTTTGGACAGCAAATGGGAAGGGTATTTATACTGAATCATGTATCCCATGATCCAGAGATCACAGCCGAGAGTGGTGCTTATTCCTTATGTCTGTAACAATATAAGCAATGCCATAATTACCACTAAAACACCAGGCCTAGATATGCAGTTGAACATTCTCTCCCTCTGCCCTCCCTTTTATTCTCTCCCTCTTCTTACTTACTTCTTTGCTTGCTTTTATTATTTTGCTCTCTCTCCCTTCCTCGTTCCATCCCTCCATCCCTCCCTCATTCCTTCCTTCCCTCCCTTCTTCCCTTTTTCCTTCCATCCATTCTCCTTCCTTTTTTTCCTTCCTTCCTTCTTTGCTTTTATCTCTCTTTCTTTCCTTTTTGGGTACATAATCAGAATACTTTTTCCACAAAATCATTTGAAATAATTTTTCTCTATTTGTTCGTGCCAACATTGATGCAGTTACTTTGAATGTTCAATCTTCATTTTTATATTTTGGAAATTTGTTGTGTTTCTTTGTTTTGTTTCATATTTGTTTTGTATATATAAAACATTTACATGGAACTGAAGTCAAAATTATAGAAGATCCATTTGAAGATTTTAGCATCCATTGTAGAGTTCTCGTTCCTCTTTTCTCCCTCACCCTATAGGTAAAAATATTTTTATCAGTTTTCTTGAACTTTTTAACATTGTTTGTCATAGCACAGTATGTATCAATTCTATTTAAATGACATATTTATATTTTTGTTCTTATATTTGGTTTTTATACATTTTAATCAATCTCTTATTTTCCCATGTCTGGATTTTGTGTCTGACTTCTAAAGGTGCACATACTTCATAAGTATGCACAAAGAAATCCATATCATGTATTTGAATGTTTTTATGCATTGATTATTTAATGATGGCATCATTGGTCTATCAGGAATTTTTATACAATAATTACTGTATTAGTAATAATAATACTGGCCAGGCCTGGTGGTTCATCCTGTAATCCCAGCATTTGGGTAGTCCAGTTGTTAGGATTACTTGAGGCCAGGAGATTGCAACCAGCTTAGCCAACATGGTGAAACCCTGTCTCTACTAAAAATACAAAAAATTAACTGGCTGTAGTGGTGCACACATGTGACCCCAGCTACTTTGGATGCTGAGGCAGGAGAATCACTTGAGCCTGGTAGGTAAAGATTTCAGTGAGCTAAGATCACACTACTGCTATCAAGTTTGGGCAACAGAGCGAGACACTGTCTCAAAAAAGTTAATAATAATAATAATAATATTGATGGTAAATATGGGTACTGACATTCTGGTAGTTAATTTACTAAGTACATTACTTTCTATTTTATTTAATCTATACAGAAACTTCATTAAAGGTTTAAAGTACTGTTGAATTTAACATTAGAAATTCGGGGGTTAATTAACATTCCCTAAAGTCATATGCTGGAATCCAAGCTCTGTGGTTCCGAAAATGAGATTTGTTAATTCAGTTTGCATTCCCCCATCTTTAAGAGTACTAGCATTATTTTACAACTTTATAGGTCATTTATACTTCTTCTTTTGAGAATCGCCTTGTCATACTCTTTGCCTATTCTTCTTTTGGAGGATTAATTTTTTCTCCTTGGTCGTAAGAATTAATATACACCATTTTAGAGATACTGACCCTTTATCAAATGTGTTGAAGGTATTTCTCCTCATTTGTTATTATTTACATTTGGCACCTTTTGGTGAATTTGTCTTTAAAAAAAAAACAATTCTATCAATTTTTCTAGGATGTCTCGTTTTATGTCAGGCTTAGAGAGGCCAATCTCACCTAGAATTTGTATGCAATTCATCATCGTTTAAGTCTAATGATTTTCTTTTTATTACATGTAAGTCAGTATTTGTGACTGGTAAAGTAGAAATGCAACAATATTTGTTTCCATATGGTAAGTCAATACCCAAAAGAGAACTTATTAAATAATTGACTATTTCCTTGTGGATATTAACATATAACTTTATCACATGAGAAAATATTACATACATGTGGTTCTCTTTCTGGATTTTCCACTGTGTTCCTTGAATCTTGTCATTCTAGCGCCGGTATTGCCCTCTCTTCAGCACTGTAGCTTTATAGTTCTTTTCACATTCTGATGAGGTTTCTCTCATCATTTTTTTCTTTTAAGAATTTTCTGTGCATTCTAGTGTGATCTCAATTCTCTCCCTTCCCATTTTTGGACCATGAGACTTCTGTCCAGCAAGACTTTTTCACGCCCCAAGGCAGGCAAGCTCCCCGGCTTCACAAGGACCCCGAGAACTCAGCTTTCAGAGCTGCTCCTGTGGCAGCCTCATGTCCTGCTCCTGTGGCAGCCTCATGTCATGTCATGACCTCTCCCTGTGGTCCAGAGGCAGAGGGAGACCAACCGGAGCCTCCTCCCTTTCTTATTCCCAGCTGAGATGACAGGAGAAACTTAACACTCTGAGCTGGGCCAACACCACAACCGAGAAGGACATTGTTCTATATCACATTATGCATATTTCAAACGTGTGTCTCTATATGCTACTTATAGAGGAGGTGAAAATCTGTGTATGCCCTAGTGAATTTTCACAATTATATTACTGTACTTGTTTTGTCCCCTATATTTCCATCTGTGAATCCAGGTGCACTGCAGATCTCAGTCTGCTTTCTGAGGGTAGGGCTGAGAAATAAAATATTCAATACCAGACAATTTGGAAGTTCAGATAAATAACAAGTTTTTAATTTAAGTATTTCCAAATATTACATTATATGGCACCCAGTACTACTTAAAAAAAAAAACCAAAAACCAAAAAAACCAAAAAAAACTCATACTCCTACTTTAACGAACAAAAATCCTCTAAAAAAGAGATCACACCCACAGGATCACAGGCACCCCCTGCCCCCCGCCCCCACAGACACACATACACCCATTTACCTTAGAGCACAGTCCAACACCCATCAACGTACTGATCCTCAGTCCTTTTAATAAAGCAGCTTCAACCCTTCTCAGAGTGGCCTTGAGTGGTTGCCTCCATGTGTCTGCAGATGCAAAAAGGAAGGCAGTTCAGGGCCCTAATCAGAGGCTTCCTGTCAGGACAAGGCCCTGGCTTCAGCATTAGCTGCTGCAAGACTGAAAGGCAGGATGTGAGCCTGTTGTGGGACTGCCCCTCCAAGGTCTGAGCCTGTTAACTCAGGGGTCAGCTTCCCCTACATCTGCAGTCCCTCTGCTGCAGGCCTGAGCTCTCCATGCCCTGGGCTCTCTTCTGCAGACGGCCTGCTCTCAGCGGCCACAGGAGGGCGCTGGAGAACGGACCTGAGCAGAGAGGCAGGAGCTCCTCTGCAGGTCTTCCCAGGCACCACCTCTTCTGGAAGGAAGGCTTGGGAGTCCCCTGAGACAGATCCTCAGTCACTTCTCTCTGCCTGTGTCTCAGGAAGACCAGCTCCTCCTGCTATCTTCTGTGCTAGGGATCACTTTCTTGTTGAGTGGCACCTGAGTTTTGAGAGGGTCTTCTGCTCCTCTTCATCTTATCCCTTTTCTTTCAAGGTCCCAGAGAGGAAGGCATGCGGTGGGCCCTAGCCCTGCTTCTAGCTTTCTTGTTTCCTGGTGAGTGTGCTGCCTACAGAGAGGCTCATAGGTTCTGTTTTGTTTTGTTTTCTTCTTTTGCAAGGGGTGCCATACTAAGGAATGCCTCATTATATGTTGTCATTTCCCATTGCAGCCGGTCAGAAATCTTCCAACTTGGAAGGGATAACAAAGTCAGTCACCAGGCCAACTGGGTCATCTGCTCAAATAACTTGTGATTTTTCTGGAGACAGTAACTTTTATATCCACTGGTACCTACACCAGGAGGGGAAGGTCCCACAGCGTCTTCTGTACTATGACGTCTCCAACTCAAGGGATGTGTTGGAATCAGGACTCAGTCCAGGAAAGTATTATACTCATACACGCACAAGGTGGAGTTGGATATTGATACTGCGAAATCTAATTGAAAATGATTCTGGGGTCTATTACTGTGCCAACTGGGACAGGCACAGTGATTCAGACCTGCTAAACACCATACTTAAAATCTGCCTTGTGGCTGCTTCTGGTACACAAGATAGAGCCGCCCCCTCTCATTTCCTGCCACCAAATTTACTGTATGCTGAAAAAGAGAAACACAGCTTAACTCCTGACCTCCCCCTAATATCACATTCCCCTGGCAGCAGCTGCCCCCTGTTCGCCACCCTCCCCCAGAACTTTCCTGAAGACCAAGCTGCCATCTCCACGCCTCAGCTAAGCAGCCTGGCTGAGAGCAAGGTTCTCTTAGCTCTCCTAGGACATGGGCAAGGCCCACTCAATCTGCTACCTAGGACAGACAGGTACACCTAGGGTCCAGCTGTGAAGCAAGATATTTTGGACAGCAAATGGGAAGGGTATTTTTACTGAATCGTGTATCCAATCATGGTCCAGATATCGCAGCTGAGAGTGGTGCTTTTTCCTTATGTCTGTAACAATACAAGCAATACTAAAATTACCACCAAAATACCTGGCCTAGATATGCAGTTGAACATTCTCTCCCTCTGCCCTCCCTTTTATTCTCTTTTTTTCTTCTTTGCTTGCTTTTATTTTTTTCTCCCTTCCTTCCTCCCTCCCTCCCTCGCTCCATCCTTCTATCCCTTCTTCCCTTGTTTCCTTCCATCCATTCTCCTTCTTTTCTTTCCTTCCTTCCTGCTTTACTTTTCTCTCTCTTTCTTTCCTTTTTCTGGTACATAATCAAAATACTTTTTCCACAAAATCATTTGAAATGATTTTTCTGTATTTGTTCATGCCAACATTGATACAGCTACTTTAATTGTTCAGTTTTCATTTTTATATTTTGGAAACTTGTGTTACTTTGTTTTGTTTCATATTTGTTTTGTATATATAAAACATTTACATGGAACTGAAGTCAAAATTATAAAAGAAGATGGATTTGAAGATTTTAACTTCCATTGTAGATTTCTTGTTCCTCTTTTCTCCCTCACCCTATAGGTAACAATATTTTTATCAGTTCACTTGAGCTTTTTCACTCTGTTTTTCATAGCGGAGAATGTATTGCTTCTATTTCAATACCATATTTATATTTTCATTCTGATATTCCGTTTTTGTACATTGTAATCAATCTTTTATTTTCCTGTGTCTGGATTGTGTGTCTTACTTCTAAAGGTGCACATACTTCATAAGTATGCATAAAGAAATCCATATTATGTATTTGAATGTTTTTATACATTATTTAATGATGGCATCATTGTTCTGTCAGGAATTTTTACACAATAATTGCTGTATTAGTAATAATAATCCTGACCAGGCCCGGTGGCTTGTGCCTGTAATCCCAGCATTTGAGTATTCCAGTCAATAGGAACACTTAGGTCAGGAGACTGTGACCAGCTTAGCCAACATGGTGAAACCTTGTCTCTACAGTAAAGTACAAAAAATTAGTTGGCTGTAGTGGTGCACACATGTAATCCCAGCTACTTTGGATGCTGAGGCGGGAGAATCTCTTGAGCCTGGAAGGTGGAGTTTTCAGTTAGCTAAGATCACACTACTGCTCTCCAGTTTGGGGAACAGAGTGAGACTCTGTCTCAAAAAAACTAATAATAATAATATGATGGTAAATATGGGTACTGACATTCTGGTAGTTAATTTACTAAGCACATTACATGCATATTTTATTTAATCTATACAGAAACTTTATTAAGGATTTAAAGTACCATTGAATGTAACATAAGAAATTGGGGGTTTAATTAACATTCCCTAAATCATGGACTTTAATTTGATAATGATTGCATTCCAAGCTCTGTGGTTCCAAAAATGAGATTTGTTAATTTGGTTTGCATTCCCCCATCTTTAGGAGTACTAGCATTGTTTTACAACTTTATAGGTCATTTATACTTCTTCTTTTGAGAATCGCCTTGTCATACTCTTTGCCTATTCTTCTTCTGGATTATTAATTTTTTCTTATTGGTCATAAGAATTAATATACACCATTTTAGAGATACTGACCCTTTATCAAATGTGTTGAAGATATTTCTCCTCATTTGTTATTATTTACATTTGGCACCTTTTGGTGAACTGAACTTTGATAAAAACACAATAAAATCTATCAATTTTTCTAGGGTGTCTAGTTTGATGTTAGGCTTAGAGAGGCCAATCTTACCTAGAATTTGTATGCAATTCATCATCGTTTAAGTCTAATGATTTTCTTTGTATTACTACTAAATCACTATTTGTAACTGGTAAGGTAGAAATGCAACAATATTTGTTTACATATGGTAAGCCAATACCCAAAAGAGAACTTATTAAATAATTGACTATTTCCTTGTGGATATTAACATATAACTTTATCACATGAGAAAATATTACATACATGTGGTTCTCCTTCTGGATTTTCCGCTGTGTTCCATGAATCTTGTCATTCTAGTGCCAGTATTGTCCTCTCTTCAGCACTGTAGCTTTATAGTTCTTTTCACATTCTGATGAAGTTTCTCTCATTATTTTTTTGTTTTAAGAATTTTCTGTGCATTCTAGTGTGATCTCAATCCTCTCCCTTCCCATTTTTAGACTGTGAGACTTCTGTCCAGAAAGAGTGTTTCATGCTCCAAGGTAGGCAAACTCCCCGGCTTCACAAGGAGCCCTACTGGGTGCTGATTTCGTTGGGCACCAGATATCAGGGAAATCAGCCCCCAATATTTCAATGTAGGTTATTTTCTGTTTTCCCTAAGTGTCAGCCAGTCTGCGAAATAAAGAGAAAAAGTACAAAGAGAGAAATTCTACAGCTGGGCCACCGGGAGTGACATCACATATCGGCAGGTTCCATGATGCCCACCTAAGCCGCAAAGCCAGTAAATTTTTATTAGGGATTTCAAAAGGGGAGGGGTGTATGAATAGGGAGTAAGTCACAAAGATCACACGTTTCAAAGGGCAATAAAAGATCACAAGGGCAGAAGGGCAGAGCAAGATCACAAGGCCAGGGCAAAATTAGAATTACTGATGAGTTTCCATGTCCCACTGGGTACATTCTATCTTGATACTATCTTGATACTATCTTCCTTACCAGGAAACAGGAGTTGAGAGCAGAAAACTGGTCTGACTAGAATTCACCAGGCTGGAATTTCTCCAACCTAGTAAGCCTGAGGGCACTACAGGAGACAGGGCGTATTTCATCCCTTATCTTCAACCACATAAGACAGACACTCCTAGAGCGGTTGTCAACAGGCCTGCCCCTGGGAATACGTTCCTTCCCCAGGGTTATTCCTTGCTGGGAAAAGAATTCACGATATTTCTCCTATTTGCTTTCTGCAAGAAGAAAAATATGACTCTGTTCTGCCTGACACCACAGTCAGTCAGACCTTATGGTTATATCCCTTGTTCCCTGAAAATTGCTGTTATCCTGTAAGAACAGGTTGCCTAGATTTGATATTGTTCAAACACACATGTTTTACAAATGATTTGTACAGATAATGCAATCATCACAGGGTCCTGAGGTGACATACATCCTCAGCTTATGAAGATGATGGGATTAAGAGATTAAAGTATAGACAGGCATAGGAAATTATAAGAGTATTGATTGGGGAAGTGATAAATCTCCATGAAATCTTCACAATTTGTGTTCAAAGACTGCAGTAAAGACAGGCGTAAGAAATTATAAAAGTATTAATTTGGGGAACTGATAAATGTCCATGAAATCTTCACAATTTATGTTCTTCTGCTGCAGCTTCAGCTGGTCCCTCCATTCGGGGTCCCTGACTTCCCGCAACCAACCCTGAGAACTCAGCTTTCAGAGCTGCTCCTACGGCAGCTTCATGTCCTGCACGTGTGGTCCAGAGGCAGAGGGAGACCAACCAGAGCCCCCTCCCTTTCTCATTCACAGCTGTGATGACAGCAGACACTGAACTCTCTGAGCTAGGCCAACACAACAACAAAGAGGAACATTGTTCTACATCTCATTATGCATATTTTAAATGTGTGTCTCTATATACTTCTTAAAGAGGAGGTGAAAATCTGTGTATGCCCTACTGAATTTTCACAATTATATTACTGTACTTGTTTTGTCCCCTATATTTCCATCTGTGAATCCAGGTGCACTGCAGATCTCAGTTCACTTTCTGAGGGTAGGGCTGCCCAACAAAACAGACAATACCCAGGGAATTTGGAAGTTCAGGCAAATAACAAGTTTTTGGTTTATGTATGTTCCAAATATTGCATAACATGGCACCCTGAACTACTTCAACAACAACAACAACAACAACTCATACACCTACTTCAATGAACAAAAATCCTCTAATAAAGAGATCACACCCACAGGATCACAGACACCCCTTCCCCACCTCCACCCCCCGACACACCCATTTACCTTACAGGAGAGTCCAAACCCACCAACATACATGATCCTCAGTCCTTTTAATAAAGCACGTTCAACCCTTCTCAGAGTGGCCTTGGGTGGTTGCCTCCAAGTGCCGTGCAGAGGCAAAAAGGAAGGCAGTTCAGGGCCCTAATCAGAGGCTTCCTGGCAGGACAAGGTCCTGGCATCAGCATTTGCTGCTGCAACTCTGAAGTGCAGGGTGCGAGACTACTGTGGGACTGCCCCCTCCGAGGGCTGAGCCGGCTGACTCCAGGGTCAGCTTCCTGGACATTTGCAGTGCCTCTGCTGCAGGCTTGAGCTCTCCATGCCCCTGGCTGTCTTCTGCAGACGGCCTGCTCTCAGCTGCCACAGAGGGCGCTGGAGAACGGGCCTGAGCAGAGAAGCAGGAGCTCCTCTGCAGGTCCTCCCAGCACCACCCCTCTGAGAGGAAGGTTTGGGAGTCCCGCAAGGTAGATCCTCAGTCACTTCTCTCTGCCTGTGACTCAAGAAGACCAGCTCCCCCCACTGCCGTCTGTGCCAGAGATCACTTCCTTGTTGAGTAGAACCTGAGTTTTGAGAGGGTCTTCTGCTCCTCTTCATCTGGTCCCTTTCCTTCCACAACCCCAGAGAGGAAGGCATGCGGTGGACCCTAGCCGTGCTTCTAGCTTTCCTGTCTCCTGGTAAGTGTGCTGCCTACAGAGAGGCTCACGGGTTTTGTTTTGGTTTGGTTTGGTTTGGTTTTTTTCTTCTTTTGCAAAGGATGCCCTACTAAGAAATGCCTCATTATATTCTGCCAGTCACATATCTACTAACTTGGAAGCAAGAAGAAAGTCAGGCACCAGGGGGTCAGGGTCATCTGTTGTTATCACCTGTGATCTTCCTGTAGAAAATACCTTCTGCATCCACTGGTACCAACACCAGGAGGAGAAGGCCCCACAGCATCTTCTGTGCTATGACCCCTTCACTCCAGGGATGTGTTGGAATCAGGAGTCAGCCTAGGAAAGCATGATAATTATGGAAGTACAAGGATAAGTCAGAAATTTATACCTCTAAAACTAAATGAAAGTGACTCTGGGGTCTATTACTGTGCCAACTGGGACAGGCACAGTGATTCATACTTGCCCTACACCACACTGAAAATCTGCCTTGTGGCTGCTTCTGGTACACAAGGTAGAAATGACCCATCTCATTTCTTGCCACCAAATTTACTGTATTCTGTACAAAGAGAAACACAGCTTAACTCCTGATCTCCCCACTGATATCACACTCCCCTGGCAGCTGCACCCTGTTCTCCTCCCTCCCCCAGGACTTTCCTGAAGACCAAGCTGCCATCTCCAGGCCTCAGCCAAGCATCCTGGCTGAGAGCAAGGTTCTTTCAGCTCTCCTAGGACATGGGGGAGGCCTGCTCATTCTGCTTCCTAGGACAGACAGGTACACCTAGGGTCCAGTTGTGAAGTGAGATACTTTGGACAGCAAACGGAAAGGGTATTTATACTGAATCATATATCCAGAGATCACAGCCCAGAGTGTTGCTTATTCCTTATGCATATAACAATATAAGCAATACTGTAATTACCACTAAAACACTAGGCCTAGATATGCAGTTGAACATTCTCTCCCTCTAACTTCCTTTAATTTTTCCTCTCTCTACTTTCCTGGTTACTTGCTGTTTTTCTACACGTCCCTTTTTCTGCCCTCCTCTCCCTCCCTCCCTAGTTCCCTTCCTAGCTTGCCTGCCTGCCTGCCTCCCTTCCTTCCTTCCTTCCTTCCTTCCTTCCTTCCTTCTCTTCCTCCCTCCCTTCCTTCCTTCCTTTTTTCCTTTCTTCCTTTTCTCTCTCTTTCTTTTTTGGGCACACAATCAGAATACAGAATAATTCTCTATATGTTCATGCCAACTTTGATATAGCTAGTTTATTCGTTCAGTTTTCATTTTTATATTTTGGAAATCTGTTGTATTATTTTGATTTGTGTATGTAAAGCCTTTACAGGGAACTGAAGTCAAAATTATAAAACAAGATCAATTTCGAGATTTTAGCTTCTATTCTAGAATTCTCTTTTCTGTATCTCACCCTGTGGGTAACAATATCTTTATTAGTTCAGTTGAACTTTTTCACTTTTTCTCATTTATTCAGAAGTCTATCACTATTACAGAAATTCATCTTTTGCTTGTCATATGTGCAGTATGCATTGTTTCTATTTGAATGGCATATTTATGTTTTTGTTCTGATATTCTGCTTTTATACATCTCAATCAATCTTTTAGTTTCTGATGTCTGCATTTTGTGTCTTACTTGGAAGGGTGAACATAATTCAGAAGTATGCATAAAGAAATCTGTATCATTTCATTAATATTTTATTCATTTTTTACCTGATATTGATATCATGATCTATCTGGAATTTTTATACAATGATTACTATAGTAATAATAATATTGATGATAAATATGGGTACTGACTTTCTGGTAGTTACTGTACTAAGCACATTACATGTATATTTTATTTAATCTTCACAGAAACCTTATTGATGGGTTTAAGTACCATTGAATATAGCATATGAGAAATTGAGGGGTTACCTAACATTACCTAAGTCATATACTTTAATTTGATAGTGATTTCAATCCAAGCTCTGGGGTTCAGAAAATGAGATTTGTTCATCCAATTTGACTTGTCTTATCTTTATGAATACTAGCATTATTTTACAACTTTATAGGCCATTTATACTTCTTCTTTTGTGAATTGCCTTTTCATACTCTTTGCCTATTCTTCTGTTGGGGTATTAATTTTTTCTTATTTGTTTGTAAGAATTAATATACACCATTTCCTAGATATTGATCCTTTATCAAATGTGTTGAAAATATTTCTCGTCATTTGCTTTCATTTATTTTCAGCACCTTTTGGTGAACTGAACTTTCTATATTACTTTTAATAAAATCTATCAACTTTTCTAGGGTCTGTATTATGATGTCAGGCTCAGAGAGACCAATGTCACCTACAATTAGTGTGCAATTCATCATCGTTTAAGTCTGATTTCCTGTTTTCAGTTTTATTACAAGTAAATCTCTAACTTTTTAAGTTAGCAACCCAAGAATATTTGTTTCCATATGGTAAGTCAATTCCCAAAGGAGAACATAGTAAATAATCAAGTATTTCCTTGTGGATATTAACATACAACTTTAGGACATGATAAAATATTACATACATGTGACTCTCTTTCTGGACTTTCCACTGTGTTCCATGAATCTTTTCAGTTTAGTGCCTCTCTTCAGCACTGTAGTTTTATAGTTCATTTTATATTCCAGTGGAGATTGTTTCTCTCATTACTTTTTTGTTTTAAGGATTTTCTGTGCATTCTAATGTGATGGCAGTTCTCTCCCTTCTCATTTTTAAACCATGAGAGTTCTATCCCAGGCAGGATTTTCCTGGCTCCAAGGCAGGTGAGCTTCCCTCCTTCACAAGGACCCCGATGACTCAGCTTTCAGAGCTGCTCCTGTGGCAGCCTCAAGTCCTGTACATGCGGTCGAGAGGCAGAGTGAGACCAACCAGAGTCCTCTGCCTTTCTCATTCCCAGCTGTGATGTCAGCAGAAACTGAACTCTCTGAGCTGGGTCAAAACAGCAACCAAAAGGGACGTTGTTCTACATTTTATGAATATCTTAAACATGTGTCTAAATTTTTTTTTTTTTTACAGAAGAGGGGAAAATCTGTGTATGCACTACTGAATTTTCACAATTATTTTACTATACTTGTTTTATCACCTATATCTCCATCTATGAATCCAGGTGCACTGCAGACATCGGTCAGCTTTCTGAGGGTACGGTTGCTAGGTAAAATATGCAATACTCAGGAAATTTGGAAGTTCAGTTCAATAACAAGTTTTTAGCTTAAGTATGTACCAAATATTGCATGACATGGCACCCTGTATTACTTTAAAAAAAGAAACAACTCACACTTCTACTTGAATGAATGGAAATCCTCTAATAAAGAGATCACACACACGGGCACACATTCCCAACACACACACACACATACACACACACACAAACTCACACAGGATCACACATACACCCGTCCCACCCCCACACATCCATTTACCTTAGAGGAGAGTCCAAGACCCACCAACATGCCTGACCCTCAGTCCTGTTAATACAGCAGGTTCAGACCTTCTCAGAGTGCCCCTCAGTGTTGCCTCCAGTGTCCTTGCAGACGTGAAAAGGATGGTGGTTTAGGGCCCTAATCAGAAGCTTCCCCGCAGAATGAGGGCCGGGCAGTGGACTTACCTGCTGTAACTCTGAAGTGCTGGGTGTGAGCCTGCTGTGAGACTGCCCGCTTCAAGGCCTGAGACTGTTACCTCCAGGGTCAGCTTCCGCCACATCTGCACTCTCTCTGCAGCAGGCCTGAGCTCTCCACGCTCCGGGCTCTCTCCTGCAGAGGGCCTGCTCTCAGCTGCCACAAGAGGGCGCAGGAGAACGGACCTGAGCAGAGAGGCAGGAGCTCCACTGCCGGGTCCTCCCAGGCACCACCCTTGCTGGGAAGAAGGCTTGGGAGTCCCCTGAGACAGATCCTCAGTCACTTCTCTCTGCCTGTGTCTCAGGAAGACCAGCTCCTCCTACTGTCTTCTGTGCTAGGGATCACTTCCTTGTTGAGTGGGACCTGAGTTTTGAGAGGATCTTCTGCTCCTCTTCATCTGATCCCTTTCCTTTCAAGGCCCAAGAGAGGAAGGCATGTGGTGGGCCCCAGTCCTGCTTCTAGCTCTCCTGTCTCCTGGTGAGTGTGCTGCCTATAGAGAGGTTTTGTTTTGTTTTCTTCTTTTGCAAGGGGTGCCATACTAAGGAATGCCTTATTATATTTTGTGTTGCCTCCATTACAGCCAGTCAGAAATCTTCCAATTTGGAAGGGAGAACAAAGTCAGTCACCAGGCCAACTGGGTCATCTGCTGAAATCACCTGTGATCTTCCTGAAGTCAGTAGCTTCTACATCCACTGGTACCTACACCAGGTGGGGAAGGCCCCACAGCGTCTTCTGTACTATGACACCTCCAACTCCAGGGTTGTGTTGGAATCAGGAATCAGTCCAGGAAAGTATGATAGTTATGGAAGCACAAGGAACAACTTGAGATTGAGACTGCGAAATCTAATTGAAAATGATTCTGGGGTCTATTACTGTGCCAACTGGGACAGGCACAGTGATTCAGACCTGCTGAACACCACACTGAAAATCTGCCGTGTGGCTGCTTCTAGTACACAAGACAGAACCACCCCCTCTCATTTCCTGCCACCAAATTTACTGTATGCTGAACAAGAGAAACACAGCTTAACTCCTGATCTCCCCTACAGGATTACACTCCCCTGGCAGCAGCTGCCTCCTGTTCCCCACCCTCCCCCAGGACTTCCCTGAAGACCAAGCTGCCATCTCAGCTAAGCCTCAGCGAAGCAGCCTGGCTGAGAGCAAGGTTCTTTAGTTCTCCTAGGACGTGGGGGAGGCCCACTCACTCTGCTGCCTAGGACAGACAGGTACACCTAGGGTCCAGCTGTGAAGCAAGATATTTTGGACAGCAAATGGGAAGGGTATTTATACTGAATCGTGTATCCCATGATCCAGAGATCACAGCTGAGAGTGGTGCTTATTCCTTATGTCTATAACAATATAAGTAATGCCATAATTACCACTAAAACACCAGGCCTAGATATACAGTTGAACATTCTCTCCCTCTGCCTTCCCTTTTATTCTCTCTCTCTTCTTTCTTTCTTCTTTGGTTGCTTTTATTATTTTTCTCACTCTCCCTTCCTCCTTCCATCCCTCCATCCCTCCCTCCCTCCTTCATTCCTTCCTTCCCTCCCTTCCTCCCTTTTTCCTTCCATCCATTCTCCTTCCTTTTTTTCCTTCCTTTCTTCTTTGCTTTTATCTCTCCTTCTTTCCTTTTTGGGTACATAATCAAACTACTTTTTCCACAAAATCATTTGAAATAATTTTTCTCTATTTGTTCATGCCAACATTGATACAGCTACTTTAATTGTTCAGTTTTCATTTTTATATTTTGGAAGTTTGTTGTATTACTTTGTTTTGTTTCGTCTTTGTTTTGTATATATAAAACATTTACATGGAGCTGAAGTTAAAATTATAAAAGAAGGTTCATTTGAAGATTTTAACTTCCGTTGTAGATTCCTCGTTCCTCTTTTCTCCCTCACCCTATAGGTAACAATATTTTTATCAGTTCATTTGAGCCTTTTCATTCTGTTTTTCATAGCGGAGTATGTATTGTTTCTATTTCAATGCCATATTTATGTTTTCGTTCTGATATTCGATTTGGGTTTTTATACATTTTAATCAATCTTTTATTTTCGCGTGTCTGGATTTTGTGTCTGACTTCTAAAGGTGCACATACTTCATAAGTGTGCATAAAGAAATCTATATCATGTATATGAATGTTTTTATGCATTAATTATTTAATGATGGCATCATTGATCTATCAGGAATTTTTATACAATAATTACTGTGTTAGTAATAATAATACTGGCCAGGCCCGGTGGCTTATCCTGTAATCCCAGCATTTGGGTAGTCCAGTTGTTAGGATCACTTGAGGCCAGGAGATTGCGACCAGTTTAGCCAACATGGTGCTGGCACCAGCTGCACCCTGTTCTCTACTCCACCCTCATGAGTTACCTAAAGTCTAAACTACAATCTCCCAGCTGTGTCAGCCATGCAGCCTGGCTGACAGCGAAGTTCTTTCAGCTCTTCTAGGGGCTGATGGAGACCCATTCCTTCTGCTTCCTAAGACAGACAAGTTCCTCATGGACTGATCTGTAGAGGGATACATTTAGGAAACTCTATAGGAAGACCAGCTGCTCTCAAGCATTTATCCAATTATTGTCTATAGATCATGGCTGAAATAGTGCTTATTCACTGCTCAGGATAAATGTTGGAATAACAACTTTGCACTTCAATAAGACACCTAACATGTATCAGATCTGCTATCTTTTGAACAAACTGATATTTTTGTTGACATATCAAATCATAGTATTATTGGTTTGCATGAGAATGGGTAAAAAAGTGATTGTCATAGATATGCCAACCTACAAATCATATCACAGGTTTTGAACCATCGCAAGCATCCCTGCTGTAATGTGAGCATCTGAAGGATCTGACGCTTGCCTTGCAGCAGAATTCACTTCATCTCCCCTCTGGATATTAGACTGATAATTTGGATCAGGTCTCAGCATGGGCCATTGGGGAAGACTACAGCCCTGCTGAGCGATGGAAGGATTATCCACTCAAGGAGTTCACACATCCTGGCCGACATGGAGAACATGACTAGAACTAGATTTGGAGGGTGCTCGCTGGTGGATTGTGGAATGTAAGCCTGAAGAAGCAGAGTTTAATCCTACAGAGGTATTTTCATAATCTATTACCCTGACAGGGCTCCTGGTGTTGGTCCTTAGACACTCCTGGGATGGCTCCATGGAAACATGCAGGAAACCTTGGTCACGTGACATGATACGGAGATGTCAGAGTTGCCTGGACGGAGTTATGGAGGAAGGCATGAAAAGACTTCGAGAGGTAGGCATGCTAGAGTGGACTTTCCCACTAAACCTGAGAACTCACTGGATAACTGTATTCCCTGCGAGAACCCAGAGAACCCTCTGAATTAGGAAGACAAGGCATGTTCTGAAATAGGAGGCATCAGCATTCTTGAGAGTCTCGGTGGACGCTGTGCCCTGTGGGGATGACTATAGGAGATGCTGTTAAGGAATTAGCTCCCTAGAGTCAATGGAAATGATGTGATTTCAAAATAAGAGTCCAAATGGGCAGAATTAGTGTGAGAAGACGTAAAGCCAGAAAAGCAGCCAAGGAGCTCTGTTCAACAGAAATCTGGGGTGACAACTAATAAACCACAGTGTTCCTAAGGGTAAGGAAATTGGGCTACCACAATGGTATTCCACATATATTTTCCATATATACATGTATATACATATCTCATCTATATATGTAATTGGAACATATTAAGAGAAGATGAATGAAAGAATGATGTCAGCTCCTCCCATTCTCCAACTCAGAGTCCTTTGAATGAAGGGGAAGGCAGATTGTCTTGAGGGAGAACCTTGTAATGTTCTAGCAAGTATATATGGTAGTGATTCTCTGAGCCTTTTCCCGCAAAAGATGGAAGACCAATTACCTGAGAAATTTATACATCTAGGGAAGGAGAATAACCAGGTCTTTCAAGGCTGTTGGAGACAGCATCTGAGCTAACTTTGATACCAAGAAACCCATATTGTCAACGTGGTCCCCCATTAGAGTGAGGACGCATAGAAGCTCCCACTCTAATGTTAGTTTTAAAGGCCCAAGTCTATCTAAAAGTGCAATCCCATAGGTGGATGGACTGACTGTGGTGTCTACCCTGTGTCTGAGAATATCAGAGTGGATGTGATGAATGGACATAAAACAAGGAGGCTGCCCTCCACTCCTGGATAGTCCAGGCAGGCTACATTCCTTTATTCCATTTGGAACCCGTATGGCTTATTCTCTTTCACTGACTGGAGCTCACACTCTGGCTATTGTAACCTGTCTTAAATCTTTTTCTCTTGAAAATGTCTTGACTTTGAGGCAGGTCTTAGAAAATGACTCTTCCTGTCTCAAAATGCAGTCCTTCATTCTAATTGGTGAATTGGAAGCACATGGCTAGTGTAAAGAATAAGAAAGTAATTAGGAAACAGCAGGAGAAGAAAGCAGGTAAGCAACACTTACTGTGAATAATTAATTTCTGTTTAGAAAATATCACAGCTGATGTGTCAAAGGCCCTAGTATGCAGGAATGAGATGAAACAAATGTGGTCATGAGGAAGAGGTTTCTGAATAATGACAGAGAAGCTTGAGAAATCCAGAGTCCAGAATACTGAAGGGGAGCAGTACTGGGTTCATGTGTATCTGGTTTCTCGTCTATTGGATCCTCTTTCTTCCAGAACCCTAAACCTTGAATCAGCCTGGCTCCTAGAAGAGTGTTTCTCAAAGTGAACTCCATGGACCACCTGAATCAGAAGCACGTGAGGCTTTTAATAATAATAATAATAAAGTACAGGTTCTGGGAAGCACCCAACACAATAAGACAGAATCTTGGAATGAAGGGTGAAAAGGTGCATTTTAAAATAACCTCCAGAGCTGATTCTTATTCAAACTGACTTTTGAAAACTGCTGCGCTGGTGGCAAGAAATCAAGGGACTGTCCTGAGCCTGACACATGAAGGTATTCTGGAAAGCTGCTCACGGGCTCCCTCGCAGCTCACCAAATCCGCCTCACTCTAATCTCTCCCAACCCCTCAAACTGCTGCTTTGACAGATTCTCACACTTTTGCACGATAATCCCACAACCGCAGTTCCTTCTGGCTTCCTGTGACCTCAGGCAAGAAAAGGTTGTGTGCTAAATGAATCTGCTTTAACTTGCTCTCCTTCCTCGGGGATCACACCTTTTTAAGAAAGCCTGTCCCTTACTTTGAAGCATAAACATATTCTCGTTTTTATTCTCTCAATACCTTGAAGGTTTTCTTCTGCACATGTATTTGTTTGATCTACCTTTTGTGCGTGGGGTGGGAGTTAGGAATCTTAAAGTGGAGAGCCAGTTTCTCCCCAAATTACTGACCTAACCCATCTTTAACTCTCAGTTCAAGGCCACCTTTGTGATGGTGAAGTTTCCATATGCTCACTCAGCCCCTTCTGCTCTCTCTTCTTCTCCACTGTGCATGTTGGCTTGTACTTTTGCCAGTTTCTCTAAAGACACAGCCAGAGGTGGGGTGGCTGTGTGTGCACAACTTCAACTTTACATATGGGGCTGAGTCCCTATGTTGTGTATTCTTGTGCCAAGAGCACAATATGTTAATTACTATAGCTTTTAAAAAAAAATTAAGAGTTTTTCATAATCAAATTAAGGCATAATTTTATTGAAGAATAAACCCCTAATATATAGGTACACTTATTTATAACTATGAACCATGAACCAGAATAGAAATGCATCATGTATATTACAAAACATAGCAAAAATAAATAGGGGTAGGGAGGTGCAGATGTTGGTCAAAGGATATAAACCTGAAGTTCTATGATGAATAAGTTCTGGACATCTGGAATACAGCATGGTGACTATACTTAGTAATACTATATTGTACACTTGAAGCTTACTGAGAGTCAGTCTTAAGTGTTCTCACCATACAAACCCAAAGATAATGATGTGAGATGATGACTGTATTAATTAGCTTGATTGTGGTAACCATTTCACAATGTATACATTGGCCAAAACATTATGTTGTATACCTGGAATATGTAATTTTATTTATCAATTATACCTCGATAAAGCTGAAATAGAGGATTACTAATTCCCACAAAATAGATTTAACAAAAAGTTTTATTCAACAAACAGTGCTATGAAGTTGTAAATTGGAAACAAAATTCAATTTAATCCACAGTCTTCTTATCAAAACCCTTCAGTGGCATTCCTCTTTCTGGTGTCCCAGTCTTGTCAATTTCACTAATAACTGTCATCCTGTGAACACCCAATTTATCCTACATGACAAAGTGACAAAGTCCGATTACATGAGTTCTCAGATTCTAGGATGGCCAGAAGAGCGCTGTCCTGGGTCAGATAAATCACGTGGAAGATGCAGAGGATGCGTGACTTTAAAGGTCCAGCCCTCAGTCGCTGGATCTTCATGCAGGGGCCGCCTCAGCCTGGATTTGCTCTTCCCCACCACTGCAGCCATACCCCAGGCTGGCTGAGGTCTGCTTCCACCTGGGCAGT